TGTGTGTGTGTGTGTGTGTGTGTATTTATTTAAAAATGCACCAGGGACAAAGACTGGAGGATATTTGTAATCATATCACAGTGTCTGGCTTGGTGTTTGCCACCTACGGTCCACAGAGCACCTCTCCATTTCAGTCCCCTGCTCTGCTCTTTGAGAGAGCTGGAGGCCACTGCAGCCTCGACTTTCCAATCTGATGGATTACTGAATCATGTGGGGTACATGAAAAACCTCCAGCTCTGTAGACTTGCAATCAAATTTGAGAGCCAGAAGTTTAGGGTGGATCCCAGATAGTGGTCTCCACCATAACATTTTTAATGGTAGTAGGGTCTTTGCTAAAGAGGTGATTCTCACCTCTTTAGCTTTAGATAGGGTATGGTCTCTAGAAAGACCAGCCACAGGATAAGAAGGTTGGAAATTCCAGCACTACCTCTGACCTCCAGGGAGAGAATGGCTGGAGATTGACTTCAATGACCAATGGCCAGTTATTGAATCAGTCATGCCTATGTAATGAAACCTCCATAAAAGATCTGGATGTCGAAGCTCAGGCTAGCTTGTGGGTTGGTGAACACACTGATGTGCAGGGAAGGTGGCACACCCAGATCCTATGGGGAAAGACTCTCCTGCATCCTCCCACCCCTTGACCTCACACTGTGTGTCCCTTTATTTGGCTCCTCTTTATGATAGAAAAACAATAATAAAGTTAGTGACTTCTGCCATTATCCTAGTGAACCACTGAAGCTGAAGGGATCACAGAAACCTTCAAATTTTCAGTCTTATCAGTTGGAAGTGAAGAAAGCCCTGGGACTGTGGCTGGCATGTGGAGTGGGTGCAGGCTTATGGGACTCAGCCCCTAAATTGTGATACCTGATGTGAACCCAGGCTGCCAGTATCAGGATTGGCATGGGTTTTAGGATGCCTAACTGGTGTTGGAGAGGAGTAGATACACTTTGTTAGAGACTTTAAAGAAGGCTGACCTAGCGTGGTATCAACACATGCCCCATCTTCCCTCTGATTCCTTTTATGCTTTTGCTTTCTCTCCATGCTGCCAAGACTGTCCAGGTCCCCAGTACCCTCTGGGCCCCAAGACTTCCACAGTCTCAGCTCCTGCTGGTCATATCTCAGAAGGGGTCATATGCAGGGTAACTGGCTGGGTAACACCAGGGCTGGGTAGGATGACTTCTTTCCCAGCCCAGAGATCCACCATAGTTTTTCTGGAGTTAGCCCAAACTCAGTGAACCTGACTGAACTCCCAGCTCTCTCCCACAAACTTATCACCATGGGGGGAGTTGCCTGCTCCCATACAGCCACCCCAGCCACCCCAGAGATCCCAGGGATAAGTTGTGTGTTTGCTTTGTCCATTCTTTGGGTGCCTAGAACAGACAGACAGATAGACAGAGAGACTTAAAGCCAAATGGAGTTTTTATTAGCAGCAGATAGGAGACAACATATGGTCACTGGATCCAAGAGAGAAGATTCTTGCTGGGGTTCAGACTGGACATGGACTCTCCTGGCAGTCAGGGGATTCAGGTGAGCTCCTTACTGGAGAGGACTCTCTACAGTGGAGAATGGATAGGGGTCTAGGGAAAAGAGGTTTGGTCATCTATGCTGTGGTTCATGTGCTAGCTTGTTCACCTCTACTTTTTCAGGGATGTGGTGAACAGGTGCCTTTCCTGAGCAAGCACAGCTCTCACACCACCGCCCCTGCCCTCAATATTGCCTTTGGGCAGGTAGGTAAGGCCACCATTCTCCTCAGTGAAGGATGTGGAGGTCACAGGTAGGTATGAAGAGTTAGCTCTGAACCCATGTCTCACTGAAGCTCCTAACCTCAAGCTCTTTACTCCCCTTCAGATTAAGTGCCAAAGGCACAGGCCCCCCAAGACCAAGTCCCACCAGCTGCCTGATCTGAGTTCTGGACTGTTTCTCTAAGCTCCCTTTTCTAATGATAGCCACTCCTGACCTGAGTGGCACATCAAGTGCCCAAGGAAACCTGCAGTGGCACAGTGAGTTGGCAAAGAGAACCACTGTGGAGCTTGGGATCTACCTCCTGGCCTGTTTCTGATTTGCCCCCACCCTTTGCCCCCTGAGGATGAGGTGCTAACCAGAGAAAGCCAAGGGAGAAAGGGACCCAAGGGGCAATATTGAGGCTGCATACCTTGGACAGGGTCCAGACACTTCCTAGCACAATCGCTCATGCAGCATTTCTTGTCGCCATCACACTCGCTGTCATGGGAGCAGTGGTCCTCCTCCTGACACAGCTGGGAGATCTGGTTGTCCACCCAGGGGCAACTGCCAGCTTTTGGGGCAGCTTCTGGAGAGAGATGGGCCAGCCCTTTAGCACCCAAAGCGCTCTTATGCTCACAGCCTTCCTTGCTGGGCCCATCTCACTGCACCCCTGAACTGAAAAACCCCATTTTATGAATAGGGAAATTTAATGTCTGTGGAACCCTGAGGTCAAATGTGTCCCAGGGGCCTCCATCTTGTTTGTCTCAGGGCAGGATCCCCCATAGCACCCTTGGTGGCTTGGAGACCTTAGAAACCAAACTAGTGGGAGATCACAAGGCTGCTTGTGGGGCAGAGGCACTCACAGATGGGTTGCAGGTACAGGGCTGGTGTGTGGGCTCTAAAAGAGGTTTGTGGTGCCCCACTCAAGGCAGAATCTTTCCATTGCTGGTTCCTCCCTCCCCACCAGGGCTAGGCAGGGCATTACCGATGATTGGGGTTCTGCAGGAGAGGCCACAGGCACTAGGACAACATTTGGTGTTGCCGAGACAGTCCTCATCGGTGAGGCAGGCTGGGGTACAGGGCATCTCCTTGGAGGAGCTGCGCTCAGGGCACATGACCTGAACTACACAGGAGACAGGCAGGTGAGTGGAGGCCTAGACCCTCTTCCCACCCTTGAAGTTCCTCGGGGGAAGGCAAGATGGAGACAAAGATGGAAACTACCAAGGATCCCAGCCCCCAACTCTCAAGATTCCATTTCTTAGAGGGGAAAACAAACAAACAAACAAACAAAACCCCCCCCCCAATCTACCAAAACTGTGATACAGCTTCTCCTGAAAAGTAGAAGTCAGCTGTGAAAATCAGGAAACAAAGCTGCAGGCCTACTGTGGGAGGTGGAAAGCTAATGGCCTCACCTGAAGTGATAGGGCCTGAGAACCACTTTCCGTTCCCATCACCCCATCTCCCAGCTGGGCACTTCTCATCTAGGGACCATGGCCTCAGCCCTGGAGTATGAGGCCTTCACCATGGGGGGATAGAACCCTGTTTTTCTGCCTTTTTGTTCCTCTCCTTCTTGCCCCTTTATCAAACCACCAGTGCTACCAGTGTGTTAGCTTATATTGGAATTAGAGATTCTGGAGTAAGGTGGGTGGTGGCTTAGGCCTACCTGGTGAGATGAAAGTTGGGTCCTGAGCAAGGACTGCCTTCAGGGCGAGAAGGCCGAGGGCCAGGCTGATGAGACAGCGCATGGTGTTGGTAGTAGGCAGGTGACTGGTGGCAGGTAGGTGACCAGTGGTAACGCAGGTGACGGATGGTGGCCTAAGTGTTTGGGGTGCATTTAAAGGACCAGCAGGAGGAAGAAGACTCTGGAGCGAAGTGGGTGGAGCCTGGCATGGCCCCAGCTGGGCTGAGGTACTTCCTCTTTGGACACATGGACAGGCCAGGCTCAGATGGGGGGAAACAAATGTCACAATTGGGGTCATGCCTTAAAAAAGAGTCCTTTGTAAGGTTGATCATTTTTTTCTTTTTATTTCTTTTGCAATGCTGGGAATTGAACCTAGGGCCTTGTGCATATTAGGCAAGTATTCTACCACTGAACTACATCCCTAACCTTTTTTTTCCACTTTAAAAGTAAAAATATTTATTATGAGAATGAAGAAAACTGTAAGGGCTGAAGAAGGAAGAAACAGCATCTATAACATGTGACACAGTGTCTTCTTGGGTCAAATAGGAACAATGAAAATGACATGTCTAAAATTTGTAGAAAGACACATGGGAAACAAAACAGGAGGTGGACAGCAATTACCAGCATGCTATTTCTCTGTTGGTGCTTTTTTGTAGTTTTCTGAAATTTCTATAACAACGAGCTACTTGATCCTTGCAGAGAATGTAGGACAACCAAAGAAAGGAGGGGTTGTCTGTTCAGAGGATACCAGGTAGACCTCTTCCTAGAAGCTCCTTTCCTGTGCCAAGTGAGCAGGTGCCAAGAGGCAGGAACAGGTTGGGCTGCTGGGTAACATGCCCCCTCCAACCTGAGGGCATTTCCTTGATTTCATGTTTAGAGAACTGGGCAGGGAATGAAGGGACCCCAGAGTGAGCATATGCTTATTGATGGCCAGTGCCCTGTCCCCGGTCCAGGCTGGACTTTGGTCTGGTCAGGGACCTTAACTGCCAGCCTGTGACCTCAGGCTGTGCTATCAGAATATTCTTTGTTGAACTGCACTTCTTCCATGTGCCCAGGACTTTGTGTGGCTTTGTCATGGCCTTTGAATCTCCTCTACAGAATTCTGGGGCTCAGTCCAGGCCCCTTTGGGGTGGCCAGCATAAGTTCCCCAGGTCTGGAGATACTGGCTGTGGTGACTTGCCACCTCTCTATGCCTCCTTGTGGCTTGAAGTTTACAAAATGCTTCCCCATTGTCAGTTTGACCTTCCAAGGAAGGTTCTGGACATTTTTTTGGGGGGTACTGGAGATTGAACTGAGGGGTACTCGAACACTGAGCCACATCCCCAGCCCTATTTTGTATTTTATTAAGAGACAGCGTCTCACTGAGTAGCTTAGTATCTCACCTTTGCTGAGGCTGGCTTTGAACTGGTGATCCTCTGCTTAGCCTCTCAAGTGGCTGGGATTATAGGCATGCACCACCGTGCCTGGTGGTTCTGGATATTTCATGTGGATAAAATCATATAGTATGTGGCTTGTTGTGTGTGACTTCTCACCTAGCTGATGTTTTCAAGGTTCATCTACCTTGTAGCAGGTGTCACTATTTTGTCCCCATTTATGGGCTGATTCTATTCCAAAGCAGGTATTTACATACACACTTTATTCTTCCATTCTCCATCACCGTGGGGTCATTTCAAGTTTTAGGCCACTATGAAGATTCTACAGTGCATGCATTATTCTACTTCCTCTCTCTCTCTCTCTCTCTCACACACACACACACACACACACACACGTTCTGCCAAGGCTCACTGTCAAGTAAGGAAGTTTCTCCTCTTCCTCTTTCTGTCTTCCAATTTTTGCTGTCATTTTCATTTTCTGGCACTGTAGAAGGGTCATCAGGAAAGGTCTTCCCAGGGCTCCTTGGCTGCTTGAGTTTCTCAGAAAGCCATGGTGTCTTGCTGTGCTTCACATCTGATGGGAGTTCATATCAGCCAAGACTGTGCTCCATCTGTGTCTCCTAGGGATCTGTGCATACAGTGCAACCAGACCCAGTGGACATTTGTGTTACACATGTGTTTGTTGCTGGCATGAAACTAGAAACTTATGTAGTCATGGGGACTTAAGATTCTACCATCTTGAAATTCTCAATAATTTCATTGTGTGTGTGTGTGTGTGTGTGTGAGTGTGTGTATACGAATGTGTGGTGTTGCTGGGGATTAAACCCAGGGCCTTGTACACACTAAGCAAGTTCTTTAACACTGAACCACACCCCCAATCTAAGAATTTCATCTCAGAACATGTGTTTGTAAGTGAAGTTGGGTGGGACAATGGAACATAGTGGGAGAAAGCAGCAACAAGCACATGTGTGATACAAATGTCCATTGTTTTCATTTCTAAAGGTTTGTTTTGTATCCTTTTCAGACATCATCAAGACATGTTTAAATATGGATGTTCCCATCTGTTCTCTTTAAAAATATAGCTTACAGATACGCTGTTTCCCTCGTCCTTCTCTAATGGCACACAGATGTGATTTGGATGGCTGGTTGGTTCCCCCCAGCATGGATGTGTCCATGTGTTTGCTGGTCTCCTATCAATGGACATATGTTCCTGACTCTTTGCTGTCATGGATGATCAGGGTTTGTGCACATGGATGGGGACCTCTGCAGTATGTAAATACAAACAGAGGTGAACTGGTGGGTCAAAAGATCTGGCTATTGTTCACATGTGTTTTCCAAGAGTCTGTCCCAATTCCCAATCCCTGCTGGTACAGTTGGGTACAATGGATCAGCCCCCAAACCTCCCAATCAAGTACTCTCATTCTGACTTCTGGGTTGATAGATTGACAGTTAGTGATGGAGTTCTCATTTTTACTTTTTATTATGACGATTTTAAACATGCAGCAGGGTATAAAAAAGTAGTCCAATAAGCACCCACTTACCAACTGCCTAGAATAATAATGATTGTAAACATCTTTCCAGATTTGCTTCACCATTCTTTTCATTTCTGTTGAAGTTCTTTAAATCTCAAAATCATGTCATTCCATTCCTAAATATTTTCAGATGTCATGTGAGGTTGGAAAACCCAGCTGCCTGTGTATATTCTCTTGAATGTAAAATGGCTGCAGAGCTGCTGCCTTTGCTCATATATGAGGCATGGGGTTGGCCTGGCCTCCTCACTATACATTTTCCATGGAGGCTCTGGCCTTCATGGAAAATGTGTAGTCTGTCATGAGCTGTCTGTGGGCTGTGAGTGGACTGTTGCACATAGTAGCCACGTGAGAGGATAAGTCTGGCACTGGGAACTTCTCATGGCACCCCCCACAGGGATTGACCGCCTGATTCAGGTGAACTTCCCCCTCAAGCTGTGCCAAAGATCCCACACAGCACCTGAGATGGGTGTGACCTGCCAAGATGTCAATCAACCTGCTGGTTGCAAGACATCACAGAGCAAGACTCTGCCCTCGAAAACTTACCCTTGCCTTTGATGTACCTCCTTAAATAAACCACTGGAGCCATTTTTCCTTTGTCTAGCTCCAGAACCCATGTGGAACTAGATCTATCAGGGGCTTTGCTTTCTGTAAATACATTTCTGAGTATTTGTACTCTGTTATTTACTAATTATTTGAGATTGTAAGTTTTAGGGTTGGCAGGATTATCCTAAGCAGGAAGAAAAATCCCTTAATGAGACACTGGCCATCGTCCCCCTCTCCCAGCCCCCATAGTAGTCTCTCCCGCAAATGCCCTGCTCCCCTAAATCCTGCTGTCCTGGCCAATCCTTTTCTGTCCTGTTTTCCATCCACTCCTTCAGAATCTGATCAATGCATCCCTAGCATCTGGGCCATTACCTTTTACTTGTTATGGAGGAACAGGAAGGAAGAATGAAAGGAAGAGAAAATGGGAGGAAGAAGTGAATGATGGGAACAAGGAGGCAAGAAAATAAGGGAGGAGGGGGAATAAAGATGGGACAGATAGAGGCAGAGAGGGAGGAAAGAGGGAGAAGGGAAGATTCAGGGTGAAGGAAGCCTGATTATGTTCTGTCTGGAATTATTTTCCCCATGGGAGCACCACCCCATCACTCCCCCTTCTGAAGCTCTTTTGGTTTCCTGTAACCTATGGGACAGAGTCCAAAAGCTGAGTGTGGCATTGATGCCCTCATGAGGATAGGTAAAGTGACTCAGAGGAAGAGTCTGGATCCACAGCTGTTTGAGTCCTATCTGGCCCTGCAGGTTGAGCAGCTTACCTTTTCCTTACCTGTAAGACGGGGGGTGATAATAAAATCTACTGGATTGAGCTGTTATGAGGGTTAATTGATATACTTTATGCAAGCACTTGGTGCCTGGTACACAGAATGTTAGCACCCATTATGTTGTTCTTGTATCTCCATGGTCCGGGTTTGGATTTATGGGGTGGTGAGGGTGTTATCATACACAGTTCCAGAAAGTTTTGTTTTCTGTTTGTTTATGTATTAATTTTGTTTTCTATTTTTTTTTTGAGATGGTGTCTTGCTATGTAGCCCAGGCTGGTCTTGGACTCCTGAGCTCAATTGATCCTCCTGTGTTAGCCTCCTAAGGAGCTGGGGATATAGGCCGCTGTGCCTGGTTATCAGATAGTACTTCCTTGATCAATACAAATGCACTGGCTGGGCTTGAAACTTGTCTAGGATTTAAAGGCTCAGGCTTCACTAGTCCCCTGTGAGCTGCAGTCTGGAAGAGCCCTTCTTTGGGAATTAGGTTTTGTCCTCACTTAACCTTGTATAAGCCATTTCCTTCCATGTACTCTCAGTTCTTCCACCTATAAAATAGAAGCAGCAACGACATTTCTCACACTGGGATGATATGAAGATTAAATGAGGCAGGTGATGAATAATGAAGGTGTCTCCATATCTAAAACTATTTCTTATAGGTTGCATTTTTTTTGTGTGTGTGGTGCTGGGGATTGAAACCAGGGCTTTGTGCATGCAAGGCAAGCACTCTACCAACTGAGCTAGATCCTAGGTTGCATTTTTTATTATTTAGAAGATAATCTCTGGGCTGGATGTGTATATCTCAGTGGTGAAACACTTGTCTAGCATGATTGAGGCCCTGGGTTCAATACCTATCATCACAAAAGAAAAAAAAATTCTAGTTTTTCTAATTAGAAAAATAACATATACACATTGATGAAAACTTGGGCAACTCAGAAAAGCATAAAGAGGAGAACAAATGAACAAAAACCCCACCATGATCCATATTCTAGAAACATCTTGTAACATTTTGGTTCCTTTCCATATACTCCTTTCTGTATTAACATATACACACTGTATATATGGAGTAGATCCCCTGTGTGCAGGCTGCCCCACTGTGCACACTTGGACAACCTGCTGTAGGTGGAGCTGGGCTGCAGTCCTGGCTAGAGTCAAGTTATATTCTGAGCACTTCTTGTGCCATCGAGATTTCTGGAAAGCATCATTGTTAGCAGTCGTGGAACAGCTAGTTCATGGGCAAACCACTGCCATTTTAACCATTTCCTTAGCTTCTTTAAGAATTGATTTTAGGCTTTAACAATGGGACATTGCCCAGAACTCCTCTGGTCAGGGATCTGTTTCAAAAGAGGGGAGAATGGAGGCCTGTTCTAACTGTTGGAGGGAACTAAGCCCCCAGAGTCCAGAGGACTAAGTTCCCTGAGGCTGGGGCTGTTGGGGGAGGGACCAGAGGTGTTGGTAGTACAAGGAGTTCAGGGCAGAAACTCAGCTGCCCTCAGAGCCTGCAGCTGAGGTGGAGACACCAGAGGTTTCCAGGAACGGAAGGTTCTCCTCTAGGCTCGCCAGGCCCAGGGGCAAGGAACACAGGATTGTAATTGGGAGGAGGTTTGTTGGCCCCTGGCTTGCCTCGAGGCTGAATTAAGTTCGATTCAGTCTCTGTTCTTCCAAGATGTAAATGCTCTTTCTAACCCATTGTCAGCTCTGGATCTGGGTTGAATGGGGAGAATGAGGCCCAGGACTGTAGTCATTGGGAACACTCTCTCTGCACAAAGGTCCTGGGGCATCAGCTGGGCTGAAGTTTCCTCCAAAACTCAGAGGAGAGACAGGGATGGAGGAAGCCAGGCAAGTCTACGTGCTTTCCCCTCTGTCATGTGACCACTATGGTCTCTGGGTATACATCTGCCCTCATCTGTGGTCTCTGGGGTCATGATCCTGAGTGTGGGCCTTTCCTTGTCACTGAGATCACAGCTCCAGCATGCAGGTCCTACCCTCAGCCCTCATCTGTCTGCTTTGAGGCCCTCCCCACATCCCCTATCTCACGGATTATATCCCTGTACACAGCACTGCGTTTCTTGCTCCAGAGCTTG